ACTTCATGAACCAATGATTGTTTTTATAATTACATATCTATCTTCACATTATGGCATGAACATTTGAGGAATTATTGTAAATAGGTCCAGCTTATATTCATAAGTATAGAATACTGATGAATTTGTGCAATTTATGCTAGCATTCTAGTCCAAAAGTATTGTAGTTTACTAAAAACTGTATGTCCTCAAAACTAATCACAGAGTTTTAAGTGAATCATATAGTGAAAAGATTCTCATAGTAATTGTAAAGCATTGGAGATATATATTACATGTGTTGTATTTATACCTTTTTTGTATATTATGATCATTTTCATATTAAGAGGCTGGTAAAAAAAAGTGAATGGTGTACTATAATAAAGGTCGCTTCTATGATGAAACTTATAGATAAGAAAGTAGACACAGTGTTTGCTTTCATGTGATGTATTAGAGGTTTGCTTGAATTGATGATGTTTTTTTAGGAGCAGTTTACTTCATATGATACTTCTATTGAGAATCAACAGTAATTACATAATTTTTCCTAAGCTCCTGTGGGATTTTCACCAGTCCACGAAGGTGAAATTAAGAAGTCTTTGCATAGGCCGTGCCTGCTAACCAAACACAGAATTGCCACACAAGGTAGCTTACTGCTTGGACTTTGGTCCAAGTCCAAGCTGTAGGGGTTAATATGTGGTACGAATAGAAGCAGTTGAAAACACATACACAGAGACACACACACACACACACACACACACACACACACACACACACACACACACACACACACACACACACACACACACACACACACACACACACACACACACACACACACACACACACACACGCATGCACAGCCACACACGCATGCACAGCCCACACACCCACACACGCACACACAGCCCACACACACACGCGCACACACACAGCCCACACACGCGCCACACACACACACACACACACACACACACACACACACACACACACACGCATGCACAGCCCACACACACACACACACACGCACACACACACCACACACCCACACACACACAGCACACACACAATGCACACACACCCAACACATGCACACACACCACACACACGCACACACACACACACACACACACACACACACACACATGCACAGCACACACATGCACATGCACATACACACATGCACATACGCACACACACACGCACACACACACACACACGCACACACACACACACACACACACACACACACACACACACACGCACACACGCACACACACACACACACACACACACACACACACACACACACACACACACACACACACACACACACACACACACACACATATGGAATACTATAACCTGTGTTGAAAGGACTACAGAAATGTTGGTACTGGCATTTGCAGTACCTGTCAAAAAAAAAAAAGATTACTAGTATATGGAAAATAAGGCTTGTGAGTGTTGCCAGTACTTTTGTAGTGTTACTTGTGATTTTGCTATTAATTTTGAGTAACCGAACCACTTGAAGTGACTTTTAATATTGGTGCCTCTTTCACAGCTGTTCTGTAATTTACATTTTTTCATGTGTGACTTTGTACGTGGAGGACAGTCTTTAGGATACACCCTACCAGCAGTACTTTCCAACTCTGTCTATACATGTGTATATATATATATATATATATATATATATATATATATATAATATATATATATATATATATATGTATATATGTATATAGATAGATAATAGTATCACAAATAAATAAAACGTTCCAGAAAATTCATGGAATGGGGTAAAATAGATGAGATTCCTTGTTGATAAAGGACTTATGAAGCCATGTATGTGTAAACTAAAATGATAACCAAAACTATAGTGGACAGTACATGTACATGGCTGTACGTTCAGTTTTCTTATCTGTCACATGGTAGAGCTACTACTTTCTTTTGAAACGTTTTGAATAATCTGTTTTTGCTCTTCTGTTTTATTAACAGAATCAGAAAACTTTGAAAAGAGGACTTCACTGGTTTTATAAATAGATTCATAAGTACTTAAGATAAGAGATAAGAGAATGTAGTCTTCAGGTGTGTCCATATGAGTGGCAGAGCCTACGCTTTGGCTATTGAGCATATTTCCTGAACTAGCCGATTGATCAATTTTCAAGTGGCAGGCTTGGACCACTATGGGGAACAACACCGGCACTTCAGTGGTTTGCCTGTGGTTTTCCTACCTGTGATATCATTTCTGTACTTACCCACTACCTATGTTCGAAATGTATGAATTGGGCCATGATTCTGTTACAATATTTGCCTGCACGAGCGCTGTCCCTTAGATATTGTAATGTTTTCACAGTATTGTAACGTAGAATGCAATTTCTATTGTTATTGTTACTGGCATTGCCATTGCCATCTGTTTTATTATTATTATTATTATCATCATCATGAACATCATGATTTTAGTTTTTGATGATGATAATGTCTTGATACTGCAACAAGTACTCTTAACTACAGCTGTTGCTTCTACAGTTGTAGCTGCTACTACAATTACTGCTTCTACAACTGTTAATACTGCTACTTCTGTAACACTAGAATGATAATAACAACTACAGCTGCAACAACAACAACAACAAATAACAGGTACCACTACTCAACTACAACCATAACCACTACCTTGATTGCTACTGCTGCTACTACTAGTACTGCTACTATTATTACTATGATTGTTACTATTGCTGTTGTTGCAATTACTGATGCTATCAGCTGCTACTAAAGTACTACTTTCACTGCTACTGCAACTAATATTTGCTTTTTGGTACAATATTTTAATAATTTAGCAATTATATAGGTTCAAAGTTGATATATCATTTGCACAAAGCAGTGAAGAAACGGAAGAAAGAAAATTTAAAAAGTATAATATTTTGATACTAACCTCCATTTATGTCACAATTATTTCTATAGGAAGTAAATATATAACATTCACACCATGTGTGATTGATGGCTGTACACCCTGTTAGACAGGGTTCTTTCAAAGATAATTCTTCTTTCTCCTTGTTGTGAAGCTATTAGTAGTATGTTAGTGAGCTTGTATTTCAAATATTTCTGGTAATTCATGTAGCTGAAGATGGACCAGAAGTGGGATTCCTTTGGAGTTTATGAGAAAACTTGCTCATGCATCAAATGTCAATCTGTAAAGGCTAAAATTGATCAAAAATGCATTAGTAATTGGCAGAGGCTACTATTGATACAAAGACATCAGATTTAAAATTCTTTGGTTGTTATAAATGTTTTAATCATTGATGGTGGAAGATGGATCTAATTCATTACTGATCAGTTTTGTCATGTGGTAAAGTTAGCCGAAGAACATTATCATGAGCATTTGCACTGAAAAGTTTTTAGTTTGGTTTGGAAGTTTTTAAAAATGGGAACAAAATTGATTTTACTTTCAGTATGCTAAGTAAAAGGAGTATATGAAGAATGAGGAAAGGTTGGATGTAAAGGAAGTGTGTGCGTGCAAAATTAACAAAGCCCCGAGAAAATTAGTGGTATTTAACTGTCTAGTGGAATAAATAATACTTATTCAGCATGAGCATTTTTCTTTGGATAATTGGATTAGGACTGGTAAGTTATTGAAAAAAAACAAGCTTAATATTTATTACATTACATAAACCTCATAGTCTGATATGATAATGGAATAGTTGTCAACTGTTCCTTTGTTCTCTAAAGGGAGAAAATAAAAAGCATATAAGCAACAAAATTTTACATAGAACAAAGGTCTTGTAAAGCCATGCAATTTTCAACTGAATCACATGTTTTTGCATTGTATTCTCATTCTCTCTGTTATTTACTATCAAAAATGTCTAATCATCATTTATATAAAATGCTCATTATTTTTTATCCTTTCAGGAATGTTACATAAAGATTATGAAATTATGTTGACCTTGTCTTTATAACCTATTTACCATTTACAAAAAATGCCAAATGAAAGAATTCAATCATTTTAGGCATTACATAGTTCAATCTCTATACTAGAGCCTACAGCAGTGTAAGGGCAAATATAGGTTATGGGATTCAAAAGAAAATTTACAATTTTAAGAAAATGCTTAATCCACTTAGTGTGAGAAGCATAAGATGCAGTTGTTCATGAACTGGTGTCAAAAAGTAAGCTGGTTAAGAGCTTGGTTGAATTCCTATCTAGTTCTGCTATGCTATCTATTTTTTATTTTCTATTTACCCAGTCATACAAGCTCTCAGGCCACACTTGATTACACCCTCATAGCTGAACTAGAAGGTATGCTATGCCTATATTAATAATCCATAAGAAAGCAATATTAAAAGATTCTGTTTGACTGAGTAAATGGGTACCCCACGACTCTATTTAATGTCTGCTTTTGTTAGTATTCACTAGTATAGCAGCTTCCATGATACTTATTTGGTTTTGAACTAATCCACTTATTTTATTATCACAATGCAAAACAAAGTACTTACAATTTGCAAGTGCAAAATTAGTGCATATGTATGCTGTGTTGGTACTGCAGTTCATTATATGTCGTATTACCCTTTTTGCCATAAACTTCCCTAATTCAGAAAATCTACTACTTTATTACCCTATCAGGTAAGAAACCTATAATGTTTGTTGCAATAATGTTTATATGTTGAGTGATGATACCACTTTTTTCCCTTTATCACTATGCACAACTGTAAAATTGGAAATAATTGAAAGACCTATCTTATCGTACATAAACAAGCAGAAAAAAAGACCCGTGACAACACAAAAAGGGTCATGAAATTCTAAAACAAGATCAGGAAACACCAAGTTGTAAAAGGATCAGATCACCCTTTTACCATATATATAGACAGACTGCCAGACAATGGAAATATAATAATTTATGTGCAAACTTGTAAAGAGAATAACTAACTTGAAGATTATCAAATTGCAATACCTACCAGTATATCTCTATATTCCTTTTAGTTAAATTTGAGGGCTGCTTGATGTTTACTGGAAATTTAAATGCAATATTAGCAAACTAAGGAAAAGAAACTTCAGTCACTTTTCTGGTTTATTAATTTCATATACAAACTAAATGTAAAAAAAGCTGCATAACAACAAGTCAAATTTTATTTTTTTATATCAATCCCCTGCATTTTTTTATGTACATGACGTATAAAAATATATTCTTTAATTATGTATTCAATTACATATTTTTAAATCTTAGGAATGCTGCAGTCTTTTATGACATATTTTACCTAATAATCACACAGTATAACAATACAAGGGAATATTGTGATTCACAATGAAAGTTCCATTTTACAACATAGAAAGGCAGCAGTGACCTGCAATGATGTTCATCAATAATTGTTAAATCTGTTAAGACAAAACTCACTCTACCTACATGAGAGAAATGTGAACAGCATGTTCATCTGATTCATTCACTTTGAGAAATAGACATTACCAACAGGGTTCAAGATATGAATAACCTGAAGGGTTAGTCTAAAAGCACCAAGCAATTCTTTTGATTTCAAAGAGATTCCTCACAGGAGCATTTCTATGCTAGTTTTAATCATTACTTTGCTCTCCTATGTTTCACGCTCTTCTTACCATTTAGTTTGGTCCTCAATCACCATTTCTAAAATACAATCAGTAGAGAAAATGCATGCATTTCAAAATGCAAAGAAAACCGTGATGCTCTTATGTGGTATCAAATGGGTCAGACACTGGGAACAACTTTTTTGATTTTTCTGTTTTATATATGCAGAAGCCATAAGAACAGGTATATACAAAGAATATTTTCTTAAAAAAACAACAACTTGTTTTAAAGAGGTGGAAGATGAAAATAAAGTAAATTTTTATCTAAAAATATATATATGAAATAAAACAATGATAAATGTCTCAGCAGTTACCCCTTGGAAGAAAATATTGCTTTTACATGAAATTCAATAATACCTTTATAATAACCAGACAAAATTACCTTTATATCAATTATGAGTAGCATATTATGCAATAAATATAGCACCTTTGCAGTCATACTGCAATATTTGGTAAAATTCTTCAAGATTACATTACACTTTGAACACTTGAGTAGAAAAGAACTCCATTATTGATACATTCTGAATTTAATTTTGAGCTTTCAAATTGACTGCAGAAGAGGAAAATTAAGTAAAGATCACCATAAGCAAAAACTAAAATCGTTCATACACAACCTCATTCCATTATCTATCATAAAGCACTCTGCTCTACACATTTTGAGCTAAATAGAAACAAAGCATTAGAAAAAGTAACCTCATAACCATGAATGTGTGTGTGTGTGCACACACACACAATACAATGCTACATAAGAATTGAAAACAAGGTCACAACTGCTTACTAAAGACTAAGAAACTCTGCTTATGCCTCTATGTCCAGCATGTTGTGGCTTTTGCTCTTGGCATTCTGGCAAAGGCAAATTAACTTCCTTTGTGCATTTTCTTGTAACTAGAAAGGAACTAATCCAGACTCAGTATTGCTGAATATAACATGCCTTTGTCAGAGTCATGGCATCACTTCCAGTAGACCCATTCTTAAAACATACCCATTTTATAACCCAAAAATGCTATTACTAAAGGGTTTCAAAGGGACTAGTTAAAAGGGTTAATGAGAAGAATTTGCAAATCCATTACATTAGTTCCAGTGTGGCCAGGTTGGAGTAAATACTGTCCAGAACTCAGCTGAGAAAAATAAGCGTATGAATCATTGTTTCTGAGGAAATCATCTGGATTTAGGCCCTGCTCTTTGGCCTCTTTCAACTGGGACCTGTATAAATAAAGAAAGACATTAGCCATTATATAGTTCATAATATTGCACATTTATTATAACCACAAAATATAAAAAGAAATTTTCCTATGTAAAAACTGTAGTATATCCATCTTAAGATATTTAGTATATGATACAAATTACTGCAGTAAAATCAGATGAAAAACACATACTTTACTTCTGAGTTGAAAGAGGACCAGTATGTTATGGCACCTGCTGCATCTGTTGGTCCATCAATGCCATCTGTTCCACCTGAGAGAAATACTACTTCTCCTGTACTTGTTGATCCTTGAAGCTTCTGAAAAAAAGGTTTGCCTTTTATAATGGGTAAATAGAATTCATATTTGTTATATTTCGTACAGTTTATATATCCCATTTTTATCTAGTATTTGAAGTCTGAATTATCTTAAAAATCTGGTGGGATAAATTGTTTATCATTAATCATAATAAATGAATGGGATGCTACAATACATATATGAATGTGTACATTATTGTTTATACTTTAGAACTAAAGAAGTATTCTGATATACCTCTTCAAAAGACATACTGAAGGCAAGCACCATTTCTTGATTCCTTCCACCTCTTCCTGATCCTTTTACTTCCACAGTAGTTTCCCCTCCAAAGATTAGCCAAATGGGGGTTTTGTTTTTTCGACATATCTCTAAGGCATCCATAAGGCTTGGCTTATTTTCATTTATACAAAGGTCACACAGATCTGATTCAGATATCTGTAGGTCCTTGTT